TTTCAGAACAATGAGCTTTGTAAAAATCGACGCATTTCAGAAAGGGGGGGCATTAGAGGAGCAACAATAATGTACAGTATGTGGAAAATAATGTTTTTTGAACCTTAAACCGCATAAACACATTGCATTACTTTTTAGCAACGTCTTATGACCCCTTTAAAAGACAGAATCACTGCAGATGGTAATTAATCAACTAATTTACCTGCCTCAGGATATACAAGCCAAGAGCATAATCATCAAACAAGCTTTGGTACCTTTGTTGTTTAATGACTTCACCTAATGAGTTTTCTAATAGCATTTTAATCATTGACCATGACTATGCATCCCGAATACATGTCTGACACCCACAAAGTGTACTTTTTGTCTTAATTTTGGACAATAAATCTACTGCATTATCATTTAGAACTTAAAAAAAAAATTTTTGAGACATTTTGCTTAAAGTGTGCTTGTGCTTCCTTTAAAATAAACGCTACTTGGTTTTTATTTTATTAACCAATGCAATGACATTCATACATATTTATTGTGGCTGAAAAGTTATTTCTTGAAATATTTCACTATACCTAATACTTTGAATTTCTGTCAAGTGATAAAATGTTTTAATAAAAAGCAGGAATCTCTGTTCCCCTTCAGCAGTCACTATGATAGGTTGGGAGAACTCTAAGGAATGCAGAGTTTATCCGCTGCTAGTTATGTAACTGATCTCAAGTATAAATTATCTCAAGTATTCTCAAACAACTTCTCTCTCAAATTCAGATATTCACATATCTGTTAAGAGCTTTCAGCTCTCAAATATGCCTATGAGCTCAGTGAATAAAGCACTTGATTGTAAAATGTTTTAATGCCAATTACTCAAACTCTCCAACCCACTCCCAACAACCATGCTTTTTTAACCTTTTCATCCGCTGATCATTTCCAGAAAAAAAAAAATCTCAATTTGGATTGTTCAGCTTTAGACATGTGAGCAGTGAATGAACAGTCATCAATAACGCAAGGTCCTTCACATATTAGAGGAATCTAAACACCAACATTTGTTCTTAAATCTATTGCTATTTGACAGCCTAGATTAGGGATGTCCAATCTGGCTCATGGAGGGCCAATTTTCAGCAGAGTTTAGCTCCACCCCAACTAAACACAGATGAACCTAATAATTAAGGTCTTCATGATCAACAGAAACTTGCAGGCAGGTGTGTTGGAAGTAAACTCTACAGAAAGATGGCCCTTCCAAAGCAGGATTGGACACCCCTGGCCTAGATCCATTTATGTCAGGGGTCTTCAAACTCGGTCCTGGAGGGCCGGTGTCCTGCAGAGTTTAGCTCCAACCCTAATTAAACACACCTGAACCAGCTAATCAAGGTCTTACTAGGCATACTAGAAACTTCCAGGCAGGTCTGTTGAGGCAATTTGGAGCTAAACTCTGCAGGACACCGGCAAATCCAGGACCGAGTTTGGAGGCCCCTGATTTATATTCTTCATTGCAAGTTTAAAACATCAAAAATCATTTATTTTTATATATCTTTGACATATCAATCATGATTACCTTTGAGGTGCTCACACATTTCCAGTGGTAGTTGAGCAGGGGCTGGTTCTCCTGGTCCAAGTTAGGGTCGTAGGATTGCTCTGCACTCAAATGCAAATCTTGAGTTTTGGACCACACACGGTATGTGCCACCCTCAATGATTGGCACCAGCTTTTTGGACATGACTGAAAGTTGAATACAGGCTGCCTTCCGTAGTGGCACCCCCTCATAGGACAGAGAAAAAACTAGAGTGTAGTTCCCAGCAGAAATCGACATCTTGGGCACTGAAAGTTGGAGCCTCCGGACGTTGACTTCTGGAGGGAGACGGACCTTAGATGGTGGAGGACCTTTCTTCTCATCATCCTGACAGCGAGGGGTGGTAAGGATCTCCCAGAGGTACTCTACTCCATAGAGGCCACAGCCTTTTAAGTTCACATTGGCCTCTACCAAGGTTGGCTGGTAACGCCAGATGGCGAGTCGTGGAGCTTGAATGATCTGAACTTCTGGTTCGTCGCACTTTAGGACAGAGATGTTAACATCAGCCTGTGCTGTAACCAAGCTCACCAGGTTACTGACATTGACTCGCACCACATAGTGACCAGGAAGGATGTAGATATGGCTCAGAGAAGGTGTAGTTGTTACAGCTGCAGAAGTACCATCCCCAAAGTCCCACTGATATGTCGCTGGAGTGGAAATAGGAGTGATTCCCACATGGAAGCTGACCGTCTTGTTTACGAAGGTGTCGCTTGGTTGAGCATCCAAGGTGGCTGACCTTATGCTGTTCTGAACTCGTATAACCTTGGTCACATTTAATCCATTCAGGGAATTGAATGCTCTAAGGAATATGGTCAGATTGCCTGGCTGTTCTGGCGCATATGTCACTGACTTGCCAACCTGAGAAATCTTGAGACCATGATGAAGGTCAAAGGTCCACAGAATGGTCAGCGGCTCACGTGTTGGCGTGCATGCTACATAAGCCCTAGATACGCCAACAGGTATAGCGGCATCACAGCAGTCCTTTATAGTCAACTTGGTCACAGGCTCCATGACTTCAATATGCAGAGTCCTTCGTTCAGAACTCACCTGGTTGTGGGCAGTAAGGTTGACGTAGTACTTGGCCACACTAGTGAACTGGTGGATGTAGGTTTGATCGTTCAGAACGACAGTTGCATCACCACTAATGCTCAGGATGAAATGAACAGAAGTTCCAGATGATACCGAGATGGTAAACTCAACGTTTTCCCCAACCGCAGCAATTTGTTTGCTGGCCTTGAGCTCCAGACCCTGGATACGGTCTTGAACAGTAAAGTCACGTGAGCATGTTTCTCTGTTGATGTCATTAGTGGCATTCAACGCAACAGTGAAAATTCCCAGTTTGGGGAAGATATAGGAGGTGGTGCGCTGGTTCGATTTTGTGTTGTCTGGCAATAGCCACATCCACGAAATGCTGGATCCCATCTGTGTTTCTCCACGCAGCGAAACATTGTCCCCCGATGCTACAAAGTTCTCTGTAACATTTGTGGCGATGAAAGTCAATCCCGAGATCGGTTCTTGAATGCCGATCCACTTCGAGACCATTTCCGAGCTGACTTTGTTGGAAACCTCCACTTTAACCAGTTTCAAACCTGCACTTCTGAAACTGTGCATGACAGAGGACATGTCAGATGTTAACAGTTCACCATCTGCCCACCATCTGTAATGGAGGGCCGTCCCAAAAGTTGCAGATACTGTCATATTTGTCATAGCATTTACTGCAGCAGGGTTTGGTGAAATCTTAATGACCAGCTCCCTCACAGGATCCAGAAACTCAATAGTTTTGTTCACAGCCAGCTGGCCAAGCAAGTTGGTTGCCTTGAGGAGCACATCACAAGGACCGGGGGTGGAAAAATGTATGTCTATGGTCTTGCCCGTGAGGTTGTAGTCATGGTTCTCATGTTCCCTCAGAAGGTTCCAGCTGAAGGTCATGTTGGTGCCCTCTTTTAATGAGGCTTGTAAGTGAAGGACACGGTTGGTTGCAAAACAGCATCCTTCAATAAGCTCATCAGCCACTATCTGCAAGCCCTCCAACTCACGCTGCACAAAGATGGAAATGCTTGACTGAACCGTACTGATGTCATTCTCTGCAGTAACAATGACACTGAAGGTCCCAACAGAGCGAAAAGTGTAGAACATGGTGTGAGTTCCTTGGATAGAGGTGCACCGGTCACAGAGAATCCAAGAGTACCTTACATCATCTCCTTGGTCAAGGTGTGCCTCAAAGTGGACGGAAGTGTTCAAAGGGACATTGACAAGGCTGGCATTTACCGACAGTCCAGTGATTGGTGCCAAGACCACAACGGAAATCTCATTTTTGGTCTCACTAACTTCATTCTTGCCTGTAACAGTGATGTTAAACCTGCCTGAGGAATTGAAAGCATGTGATACGTTTGTCCCATTAAGTTGAATCCCATCTCCAAAATCCCAGATGTAGACAGCATTCACAGAGTCTGAAGATGCCTTGAAAGCATAGTCTTGGTGTAAAGAAAGATTGTTCTCTTTATCTCCATTATGGCTGATCAGCAAAAAAACAACAGATTTTTGCACCACAACTAAAACAGAGTCGTTGATACAGGAGATGTTGTTGAGCGCAGTAACTGTGACCAGATATTCCCCAGGACTCTTGAATGTAAAGGCCATCTCCTTACCACCTCGAACAGGACCTCTTGTGTCAAGTACCCCAAAATCCCATAGGTAGGTGTAGTTAAATTCTGGGAAGGCAGCTACTGTAAATTTGCTCTCCTCACCGAACTTGATGTGTATTCTCAGAGGAAACAAAGACACTGTTGTGAGTTCAGGTTGGACGCAGATCCTTGTGTAAAAATTAGCCTTGTTAGCTTCACTTGACATAAGTAGCGAGAGATGGTACTCTCCACTCTTAACGTATGAGTGTGTTTTCAGTGGTGTTCCATACTGAGTTTCATTGGGGCTTCCATCTCCAAAACTCCACACATACTGATGTCCTGAAGCGTTCCCTGACACAAATGCATGGAAGCGTACCTCTTTGTTTTCTTGAATGCACCCAGAAGGTTCTAGCGATAACACCTGTAGCACAAACACCTCAACAGGTATTGTTACCCACTGAGAGCTCACAGCATTATTTGCGGTGACATTTACGGTGTAGTTTCCATCTTTCCTGTACGTATATTCAACTTGGGGTTCCACACCAGTGTGCACTGTTCCATCACCCATGTCAAAGCTCCAAGTTACATTGTTGCCTGCTTCCAGACTTGCCGTGACAATGGTAGGCGTGTTGCGTTCCGTGGGAGCAGATGGCATCACCTCTAAGCCCCTAACGTCCTCATAGACAATAACTTCCATGCAGGTGTCTGTCGAGCTAATGGTGTTGTTCACATTCACGCAGATATTGTAGACACCGCTGTGATTGTAAGCGTGAGGAACCCTACGTTCACGTCCCTGCTGGACACTCGAATTGTCACCAAAGTTCCAGGTGTAGATGATGCCATAGGGAGACGGTAGGGGATGGGCCTCAAAGTCAGCTGGTTTTTCAGCACGTAGCAGGGGTGGGTTGATCTCAATTCGCACACTTGTCAGAATGCTAAAGACGTATACGTCGACCTTGCATGTCTTGTTCTCATAGTGGTTGGAAGCAGAGAACAATAGGGTGTACTCCCCTGCAAGAAATATGAGTACAAAAAAATCAATATAGATATAAAAAATAATGAATACAAGTAAAAATAAGGATATATCAATATGAATAAATAATATACAATTTTTTTTTTTACCTGGCTGTGCATAAATGTATGACACATTGTCACGAATCACCACCTGGTTACTAGCGGGGTTATCATAAGGGGGCTTAAACTGATGTGTACGGTTTCCTCCATCTCCAAACCACCACCTGTGACACAAAAAAAAAAAAACATTAAAACATCACAAACACACACACTGCATGCCTGATTGCATGCATTATTTTACAAATGCTTTCACAGTTTCTCACAGTGTAGACAGTGCTTTTAAAGAGGTCATGAACTGAGAAATCTAATTTCCCTTGATCTTTTGACATCTAACAGGTCAATGTACTATAAAAGGATCCTGTAAGTTTCAGAACTCAACACTTTCTCGTTAGTTCAAAAACAGCTTTAATTGAAACCAAGCAGCAAAACGACTCGTTTTGGAATTTGTCACATAATGACGTCATAGTGCAATGAAAGCTCAGCCTCTGCAGAAGAAAATAAATGCCTACTTCTTCATTATTGCCTCTTTAGCCTGCCCACTGATTCAAGCATATAGTAGGAGGAGAGGAAATACTAGAAAGATGAAAACACAGGATTACTCCATCAACGAAACCATAGAGATGCCTCCGAGGATTACAAGATGCTCTGATTTACTTCCGAATCTTGAATCTTGTTTTGCAGAGTTGGTGAAAAACAGTACAGAAAACAGCCTATTAGTTCTAAATTATGATGTTTTTGATGAAAAAATCTTGCTAACTTTATAAGTGGACCTCAGAGGACATTATAAAATAATAAAAAATATGCCGTTCATGACCCCTTTAAATACTGCATCTTGATTTTAATTGCACAAGCCATTGGGCAACTGTGACCTTACCGAAAACATTTTCAGGCAATTTTAAAGTTAACATGAATAGCAAACTATTTTACTATTTTATTGTAATGTGACAAAACAAAACAAAAAAGACAGTACTTTGTTTTATCAGTAGGGATTTGAATGGACAGTGGTTGGGGAGTTGAAAAAAAACTTGACAAGTCACTTCATTCTTACATTACAGATTATTTTGTTCCTTTTGAATAATGTGCACAGTAAGTTCAGGAACATGTATTACGTTAACTCTGGTTTCATGGTGCTTTAAAGGCAAGCTTATTGCTGTATAAAAGAGGGGACTAAAGGATGGGGGCGGGAAGACAAATTTGATTCTCTTTTGGTGCCTCAGGAATTTATAAAAGCAAGGTGGCAGGTCTGTTTTGAAGACGTTTTTAGCTGGAGGGAATAAAAGCTCTCTCTTGCAAATCTCGCTGTCTGACTCATCGCTGCAGGAGGGAGAGGTGGAGCTGGTGTTGAATCATCGCCTCGGCTCCCAGCGATACACCTTCATCTCTCGCTCCATCTTATCCCCACTTTCTCTATGGAAGTGGAACCCAAAGGAGAATCAGGTATTACGATTGACTGAACAAGCGGCGGGCTGAACTCCAGAGATACTGAGCAGACGAGATAAAAGCGCGGGGAAGAAATCGCCCTACAGTACTCGTCTGACAGACTTTTTTGACAATATATTGAGAAATCCATGAAAAATAAATAAATAAAGCAGACATCTGCAGTGGCGCGCAGCAGGCTTCTGGGGGATGGAATGGAAACTTTGGGAATCTTTCTATGCTCGGCGTTGAAGGGAAAATTATTGTCAGCATTCTGCGCTAACCACAGACTGTAAATCTAGGGAAAAGTGCCATTAAAGGGGAGCAGGCTGAGAGTGCGTGTGAGGCGGTGGAAGCCGTAGAGAAAAAGTTTGTGTACATTAAATAGTCATGTAGAAAGCCATCTATCTCTCCAAGTAGAGACATATTTAAAGAGAGCATTCACAACCCATTTTACTTCCATAATGTGACATATAAGAAAAAAAAGCATGAAAGAGCTTGATTTCACCCATCAGGAACTGATTAGATTGTAATTGTGTGTTTCATATCAATGCATCCTAATTCTAGGACTTCTTTATGAAATCTATCATTATTTGCTACTATTACTGTATTTTTTATGACAATAACATTACTGTAAATCACTGCATTAATTATGCTAAGCTGCAGCTAAAAGTGCTACCGCCAGACCCGGAGATTGGCTGAATGGATTCGAAAACGGTAAAACTCAACTGTTTAACTCTAGGGGAGTTGGAAAATGAGCCTATTTTCAAAAATAGTGGCATGTTCCTTTAAAACATCCTTAATATTGACCAATGAATCATGAAACTGGTGAAAGCTTTTAATTAATTTGATGGCTCTTTTATTTGACCAGTCGGAGCTTTACTGTCATAGAACGTACCAGAAGGTGACATCCACCGCCATGTCTATCTTCACCGATGCATAGAGGTTCAGGGGCAAACCCTGCTGCACGATTTTGGGGACTCCATGGATGGTCGGCTCAGTCATCGGGTTCATGCGGTCCACCGTGACGTTGAAGTGCTCTGTCAGCATGCTAACCTGGTTCATAGCCGTTACCTAGGAGATGAGAGATGGGTCAGTTGCCAAGCTGATAGAATCAGTGTTTCCTTTACATAAACTGGGCTGAGTTCAATGAAAACCAGTCACCGTGAGTTTGTACACTGCTGCGTTCTGGTAAATGATATTTAACATGCTGTTATAGTATGTGAAGTATGGTTTATCATCCACCGTCCATTTGAACGACGGGTCCGTACCTCCCTCCACAGAAGCCGTGTAACTCTGTAATACAAGAGGGAGGAGAAGTAGTAAGCAAATAATAAGACTATTAAAGATGAAGGTCAGGGATATAACAAAGGCAACACGGTGGATAATGGCCAGCATGAAACCGTCAGCTTCTGTCTCACAGACATCTTTTATGGGCAAAAACATAAAAGATCAGCAATAAATACTCTTTGGACAGTAGATGTTTAGAAATCAGTTTAAACTAGCCTAAAACTAGCAAACCACATGAGTTAAGCAGTTTCTAAAATATTATGAACAACACACTATCTTTGGACAGCAGATGTTTATAAAGTAAAACTATGCTTAAAGAATAGTTTAAACCAGCTTAAGGTGGTTAGGCGGGTCTGCTTTGATGGTTTGAGAGAGGTTTTAGGCATCTGTCAGGCTAGTTTAAAGCAGCAAAAATACAGCAAACCACCTGGATTAAGCAGGTTTTAAAATATTAGCAATAAATACACTACCCTTGGACAGTAAATGTTTAGAAGGAAGGTAAAGGCATGCTAAGAAAATGGTTTAAACCAGCCTTAGGTCATTATTTGATCTGTTTTGATGGTTTTAGACAGGTTTTGGGCACTTGTCAGGCTGGACAACCATTTTAAACCAGCTCAAAAAACAGCAAGCAAACCACCTGGTTTAATTGGGTTTTAAAATATTAGCAATAAATATACTATCCATGGACAACAGATGTTTAGAAAGTAAAGTCATGCTAAATAAATGGCTTAAACCTGACTAATTTGATTTAATATGGTCTGTTTTGATGATTTTAGACAGGCTTTGGGGACTTTTTAAGCCAGAAAACCAGTTTAAACCAGCAAAAAGAAGGCAAACCATCTGATTTCAGTGGTTTTTAAAACAGCTGGAAAAAAGGCTTAAACCAGCCCGAGGTGGTCAGTGGGTCTATTTGTTATGGTTTTAGACATGTTTTGAGCACTTGTCAGGCTGGTATACCTTGTTAAACCAGAAAACCACCTGGTACTATTAACAACATATACACTATTCTTGAACAGTAGATGTTTAGAAGGTAAATTCAACCTGGAAAATGGTTCAAACCAGCCTAAGCAGGTTAGGCTGGTCAGCCTTGATGGTTTTAGATGAGTTTTGGGAATTTGTCAGGTTGGGAAATCAATTTAAACCAGCACAAATAAACAGCGAACCACCTGGTATTAACAATAAACACACTATTCTTGAATGGTAGATATTTAGAAGGTAAAGTCATGCTGGAAAAAGGGTTTTAACCATCCTAAGGTGGCTATCGAGTTTGTTAAGATGGTTTTAGACAGGTTTTGGACACTTGTCAGGCTGGGAAACCACTTTAAACCAGCAAGCCTCTTGGTTTAAACTGTTTTTACAATATTAGCAATAAATACATAATCCTTTGTAGTTGTTTAAAACAGCCTAATGTGGTCTGTTTTGATGGTTTTAGACAGGTTTTGGACATTTGTCAGGCAGGGAAACCAGTTAAAACTAGCAAACCACCTTGTTAAAATGTTTTTTTTTTCTCAGCAGTGAGGATGTCACTCACCACTACGGACTCCATGAGGACTCTGTGAGCAGGATGGGGTTTGATGACGAGCCCCTGGAGAGGTTCTTTCACCCTCGCCTGAATTTGTAGCGATGCTGTGGTAACGTTGCTCTGGACGTGAAGCAGCACGTTGGTCTGTCCCGGTGTGGACCCGAGCTGGAGGTCAAACCATGCGAACATGGTGTCGTTGTACGGGTCGGGCTGCCTGCATTCGGCCACTTTCGCCATCAGGTTCTCGGGACATGTGTCATGAACGGGAACGGTCTCGTTGCTGCCCTGCCACCCAATCTGAGCGTCGGGCTGCGAGCGGACCATGACGAGAATCCACGTCTGATTGGGCAGGAAGTACACCGTCCCGTTGCGATTGGTGGGATAGATCACGGTTGGGCCCAGAGGTGGAACGACATGGATGGGACAGGATGCGGTGACAGGAAAATCCTCATCGCTGGACGTCACTTCCAAACTGTGGTCGCCAAGCTGAGGGAGGCCAGAGTGGAGAAAGGAACCCTGCAGCGCGGTGCTGTTCTGCCCCACATACAGCACCCTCACCTGGCACACCATGCCCTCCTCCCAGCCGCCCTCCGCATCCACCTGAAGCGTTTCGTTTGCGTCCCACCAACTGGAGCGGTTCTGGATGAGCACGCTCTGTTTCCATGGTGACGAGGGGTCGGAGGAGCACTGGAGGAGTCCTGACGGCCCGGCGTCGTGCTGCAGGGCAAAGAAGTCGCCAGGGGAAATCAACAAGTCCTCTATGTCATCCTGGACCTGAGTGAGAGGGAATGCATAACGAATGATTGAATGTGTGCACTCGAAACAGTTTTTCAAGTAACAAGCTACTTTTTTTGTTGTTGTTGTTGTTATGTTTTATTGTGCCAACTAGCTGGGACAATTAGAAATGCACAATATATCAGTACAGTATCAGTTATCAGATGATTATTTTGTATATTTGATTGTGCATGCTAATTTGCCGTTTTTACATTTAATGAGTCATCTAATGCTTACTAAAAACACTAATAACACTTAATTTGTAATAATTAGCATGCATCCATTTTTCATATTGTACATTATTTTTAATAATGTAAAAATTACAAGTTTGTGATTTCCTAAATTAACTTGTAGCATGATTCATTTTAATTAATCTTAAGTGATTTCTTTTTAATTAGGTTAGCCTAAACAGCATATAAATATAAGCCATTTATCGCTTTGTTTCAAATTGGTTAATTTGCATGGTTTATATACACATAACCATTAAATTATTTTTTTTTATTTTAAGTAATGAATACTTTTATTTATCAAGCCTGCATTAAACTGATCAGAAGTAAAGGCATTTGTAATTTTGCTAAACTTTTCTATTTCAAATGCATGCTATCAGTTTCCACAAAAATATTTATTTTTAACAAATAAAAAAATAACAGTTTTGAACATTGATAATAATCAGAAATGCTTCTTGAGCAGCGGATCATCATATTAGAATGATTTCTGAAGGATCATGTGACACTGAAGACTGGAGTAATGATGCTGAAAATGCAGCTTTGATCACAGAAATAAATTACATTTTACAACATATTCATATAGAAAACAGGTCTTTTAAATTGTAAAAATATTTCATGAAATTACAGTTTTTATTGTATTTTTGATCAAATAAATGCAGCCTTGGTAAGCAGAAGAGACTTTTTTTTTAAAAATAATAAAATCTTCCCAACCCCAATTTTATGAACAATAGTGTAAATAAATGATTCACCAATCAAATCTGGATTCTCACTTTGACATTCTGTGAATTTTATGTCATTTTTTGTATGCTCAGAATGCATAATATTCAATATTTGTTCATATATGCAATGTGTTCGAATTGGTTTTGGGAAGCCGTCCGAACAACCGCCAGCTAAAAGAAGAGATATATATCTGAAAAAGTCCTTTAAGGCGATATATATCCTATTCTGAAGAAATACACCTGCTTTATGTATGTATTTTTCTGTTAATCATCTTCCATTTCAAAACACCGCTTGCGATAACATTCTATTGTTTATAAAATGCACTGTTCTGAGAGCAAAACCTGACCAAATGTCAACACTGCGGTGAACGCGAGGGGGACAGTGATTACCCTTAATAATGTCCCGACCTCTGGAATTACACTGTGCCCTGAAACAGACCTCAAATACCACAGAAAAATACACAAAAACTGCCCCAAAAGAAAGCTGTGAAGAGAAGTATGTCTCTTCGTCAGACACACTGAGGGTCATTATTAGGACTGGCTTTCAGGCAGCAGAGAGGGAGTGGAAATAATTAACTGTGATCTGAACGTCACTGGAGGACATTCTGAGCCGCCCCGCATTTACTCTTCAAACGCTCTGTTTAGGCAGAACACACTGAAGGAGGGTGAAGTAGATGACCCGCAGGCCCACACACACACTCAACCTCTCATTAAAAGCTCAATGCTCTCACATTTCATCCTGAAGCTCAAGCATGCTGGACTTGTGGTCTATGTTCCAGATTTACAGAAGAGAGCTACGACAGTCAGTGGTTGAACCTTATGAAATCCGTCAAGACACAGAAATTATATTTTGCATAAATAAAATGAAACCTATTTTTTAGAAGAAGTTTTTGCATTGTGATGTTATTTTTGAAAATGAATCACATTTTCATTTCCATAATTCTGGAGTTTTTTTTTTTTTTTTTTTTTACTTCCATTGTTCTCAAAGCTGATTAATGCAATTTTTTTTTGATTGTTTTACACAAAAGCTTTTTTTTTCAGCGTAAATTACACAAAGCAAATTTGTTTAGTTTAAATTATTATAAATCATATATTTTCACATTAATGCAATGAGAAACAGTGTTATGTTCTTGACCGTTCTTGACCATTTCTGAGAGTACAAAATATGAATTTCTTCATTCTTAAGTAAAGTTATGAGACATGTTCTTGACTGTTTTCGTGAATTTCTTCATTGTTAAGTAGAAGTGAAGATTTCAGATGGAATCCAGTCTGGTTTTGATTAGGTGCAGGTCCAGGTTTTCGGTCAAACTCACCAGGACGTTGGATGGCGGTCCGGCTGGAAGGGTGATCAGCACCTCCCTGACGAGTCTGTAATCAGGATACTGTGTGCCCGCAGGCAGAGGACTGACCCCAGAACAGTTCACACAAGCCCCGGGATGACAGGGGCTGGCCAAGGGCAGACAGAGCTCAGTGTACGGACAGTACTGGCGTCCCGCTGGACACGCTGCGGCCGCTGATGGGACGGATGTGTCGCTGATCCACTCATCCGGGGCCTGACAGACAGTGATGGGGGCGCAGAGGTCACCACAACCTGAAAAAGAGTCCGTACAAATTCATTTATCATTAAAAATCATGCAGATATAACACACAGAACAATATTAATTTTATTAAAATGACTTGATCTGTTTTATTGTAAATATGGCCTTTTGTCAGGGAGACTGTGGGGTGCTGGCTGTTTTACAATTTATATAGACAGATAGATGGATAGAACGACAGACAGACAGACAGACAGACAGACAGATAGATAGAACGATAGATAGATAGATAGATAGATAGATAGATAGATAGATAGATAGATAGATAGATAGATAGATAGACAGATAGAAAGAACGATAGGTATATATATAGATAGATAGATAGAAAGAACGATAGGTATATATATAAATAGATAGATAGATAGATAGATAGATAGATAGA